AACAAACGATTCAAAATATACAGTTTTACTTCACATTTTGCATGTTGAATCTTGAACCTACCTGTCATTGCTGGTATTCAGCATAAATATAACGCTGAAATTTTTGAAATTAGTACTGCCCAAGCTACGCATATTTTCTATTTAAAAATAATATATATTTCTGGAAGAAGAATTGGAGATTCGTTGGAGAGCCTTTATTAAGCCGTTCTTGATATTCATACAAAAAATGCCATTAATACGAAAATGGATACATTTAGGGGCTTTTATTTCGAATACATTGGCGGAAATCGTCTTAAGCCAGAAGTGAAGGAACGAGAATGGGTCAATTACGACTTTAACTTCGACAATATCCAAAACGCGATCGTGGCGCTGTTCGTCGTTGGAACCTTCGAAGGATGGCCAGAGTAAGCGCCATGCCCTCTACCTCGGAGTGTAATGAGTCAAATGAAATGTGTTTAGTTTGCTGTACGTGGCGATTGATTCGACGGATGAGGACCGCGGGCCAATTCACAACTACCGTCAGAGTGTCGCCATATTCTTCATCGCTTACATCGTCGTCATCGCCTTCTTCATGCAGAACATTTTCGTCGGATTCGTCATCGTCACCTTCCAGACGGAAGGCGAAAGGGAGTACGAAAACTGCGACCTGGACAGCAATCAGGTAATGATCGAAAACGCTGACAAGTACTTTCTTTTAGTATTGAATATTTGTTTCATGCTTTGGCAGTTCATACTGAAAACAGTATAAAACGCGGTTTATTTATACACAATGCAAGCAATCCGGTAAGCCGGATGATTGACCAGTGCCGACATTGCGGCTCGTGTCTCGTGCATCTTCTTCAGGACAAAGGGATCGATGAGCTTCGGAAGTCTCACCTTTCAAGCTAAAAAAGAGGGATGATCGCGTAGGAAGATAAACCACACGTGCAAGCGAAGCACCTTGGAAGAACAAACAAATCCTGGCGTCAAGGATCAATGTGAAATGACCTCGAGATCGCATAGCATGAGGTACTGGGAGGACACACCACCTCACCCCCGCTGGATGATCAATAATACACCGTATTCGTCGAATAAAGACTGTTGCAGAACAGACGCGTCAAAACGGCATCAATCATCCATCCTGAGACTATCTCCAATGTGTCAAAAGGCTACAAACGCAGTGTCCCCCGCGTCTACTTCGATATTGAGTGGATTGAGTTTGGAAATCCTTTTTACCGTTTGCAGCGGTTCGTACGCTCAGAGCTACAAGGCGAAGGCGAGCTTCCTGTCCGTGCTGCATGTCCTGTTGTTTACTGACGACCATTGCTAAAGAGCCCATTCAAATTCTTCCTCCTTGTCGTCCCTGTCACCAGGAAACTATATAACTGACAGCTCGGAATGAAAGTCTCCTTCTGGTACCGAAAGTGGAAATTGCTGCGAACGATCAAAGCGACTTCTGAAGCCCAGCAACATTACTATTTTGTAAA